TTTTTCACCCTGATGGGCCCGATTGGGCGCGCGCTCAAAAATCGGCCATCGGAGAGCGCGATGCGTCTTGGGATATTGGGCGCATTCGTGACGTCACTTGTGCCGGTCGGGAAAGGCTACGGCGTGAATGTTGTGGTTACGAGCGTTGCCACTTGGTGGCGCGTCGACGATTTACGACCTGTGACAACGTGGCCGTTTGAGATGTGCAAGGGCTGCACGCACGCTGCACCACGGGACCACGGCAAGTCGGCAACCACGGCAGCACTGACAAAACCAGCTCTGAGGCCGGATTCTCAAAGCGAATTCACGACGAAAAAAGTGCGTGCGACAAATTTGAGGTTACGACAGAATCCTACGACAGCTCCGAAGCTGTCTTACGCACTTTTTACGATCAAATCAACAAGGCCGACAGCGTCGCTCAGTTACTTGGTATCGGCCACCAACGGACATTTATTTTTCTTCGTGCTCTTCTCGTGCGTCCCGACTTCAACCAGCAAGAAAAAAGGAAGGAGTACTTAAAACAGACCACGACGATCAAGAACGCAGGATCCACAAACACACGAGAAGAGCTACAACAGCCACGATTCTGCCGACCGAGCGAGCTCGGCAGAATATAGTAGGCCTAGCAGCAACATCGACTCGGCGCACCGTTGCTCCGGCGGTCCTTGGCCAAGACCGTCTGTCCATGACCGGCTGGCCTGCTGAATGGAATATGCCCGCGCGACCCTTGTGGACCCTTACCGGATGAGTAGTTTGATCCCTGAACTAAATTTCAGAGGTCAATATTTTCCCCTTGTCATCTCGATCTCCTTGTTTTCCGAGACAGCGGTGACGAACGCTGTCGTCGAAAAGGGACTCTCATTGATTCTATCTCCTTGTTTTGTGCGATATAGAGCTCAAATAAACGCCATACGGATTACCTTGGCAACTCGGTATGTACACTCTGTTATTAGTATGCCATTTTTATTCTGACTCCACGCTACGTCAGTGTCGAGCTATAGCAGTTCGTGGGAGCTACGCGATGTCGGTCTAACCTTTCTTTGTCGAGTGTCATGTCAGTTTTGAGTTGCAATCGTAAAAGATCGGTCCAGAAGCGCTTACCGAAACGCGGTCTAACAGAGCGAATCCAGCACTTCGATCAAACGCGCGTGTCCGCTCCGAGTGTGAACAGGTATTTGGCATTTGCGTGGCTCTTGCTGACACCCTCGCGACTCGCAGCAACTAATACCGGCCGTGCCAGAAGCATGCTCGGGCCGTGTCGTGCAAAGAGCCGCAACGAGAACGAGCTCACTGTGGCCAACTACGCTTTGGCTTTCTCCGCCAAGGCTTTGCAAACGCGTTCAGGCCTAGGCGAATTCTGCCGGCACGCCGTATTGCCGCAGAACGGCGCTGCTATTTTGGCACAAGTGATGTCACGAGAACTTCCCCCCATCCACCAGATGAGAATTTGAAATCGTTTAATTATGTTTAAAATTAGTTCTCCTGTGTTTTACAGTGCAATATTTATATTTCCGAGGTGGTGCCTGTCCCTAGCCCATATTTATGCAACAAGATCGGCGCTAAAATTTCGTTTCACTACCCCTTTAATTCAACTGAATCCACAAACAGTTGATTGCACTCATTGTCATGGGGCCCTGTCAAACACTATTTACATGTTGAACACACCACCATAAATTATGTGGTTTACAAACTTAAAATATTAAGACAGCGCAAAAAAAATGACGGAATATTGGATGAAGGAGGACACAGACAGAGCGCTGCCTGTGTTACAAAGGTTAAAATTATATGATAAATAGCCACTACCTTTGATCCACGTAATAGTTTAGGCAAATTTGTTTTTTTCTTCAAAGGAGAGTTTACACTTTATCATGCAGGACAGGGACTAATGCTTAAAAGCCTAACACGACATGAAAACAAACAGAGATCGAAAGCTTTTCAGCTAACAAACCCTCCCTTCCTTCGTCGAATAAACGCTTGTGCGGAGGATAAACGAGTACTAACAATTCATAACTCTCTAAAATGGCATATCCACACCGTATTAGCGTTACGCTCTTTTTCAAACCCATTCAGAATGGGCATTGACCTATAACTAAAAGCGCGAGCTAGCTGCTTTGAATAAAGCCCCGGCGGCTGCACGAGCGCTCGTGCAGCGAGTGCTCCAGTCAAGCCGTTCGCGCTTGCAGTCTTCTTAGTTAGTTCATGCTAAGGTGAGACGTAGTATATATGTGATCATACGTACCTCCATCGCGTTCAGAGCGTAGAATTGTTTGCGGCACCAATACGCCGCCTTCGTGACGGTGGGGTCGTTCTGTGACGGACCGACGATGGCGATCATCGTCCCGTCGACGCAACCGATGACGCCGGGTATCCTGCCGAGCCGTTGGAAGCCCCTCTCGACGTGCCCTCTTGCCGGTTGTCTGGGAAAAGTCGATCCAGCCGCGCCGGATCCCCAGAGGCTGCACAATAGCGAGGGACACAGCCCGCACAACAATGCCGACTGTAGCCTGATTCCTCGCTATGTGCTCGTCGCTCGCCACCATGCTCTGAAAGCTCCCCGCACAGTTTGCTCCCCGTGGCTAAAAGCGAAGTGCGCACAACACATGCTGTCCCACAGACATCACCGTCCACGAGCCTCGCAGCCTCAACTCTGGCTCCTCGCGCAGTTCGTCGCACAATCAACGGACCAGATTCTTGGTGAGACGGTAGTGCCTCCGAAAAGCTTCCTCCGGTAGTTCAAAGGCCTCGCGGTGTCGCGGTGCTGCCGGTGGAGCCTTTCCGGAGGGAAAAAAAAAGTTGAACGATAGAAAGACTGTCGCTCTGCCTCCGAGACGCCGTGTTTCCAATTTCGCTACCGCGAAGAGACCATCGACAGACTCGTTCCCTTTACAGACGAAACACCGAGGAAACGATACGTCAAAGTGTTGTCACTTCCGGTGGGGGCGGTTCGCCGTCTCCGCCCACATTTTCGTAGGGAACTTTCGTCATTCGAGCCTCAACCAATCAGACGCGATGTCGTCACTTCCGTTTCTTTTAGGAGAAACGAAACATTTGTCCAACATAGGTCCCCTGGCTTACACGACTGTGGCCCCTTCACAGAAGGCACCTATGACATACCTTTAGACTCCGCGTTCCGGATGGGTTCGACGTATCCTTCGACTCAGCGATTATGGAGGAGCTCCCGTGGTTAACGATTGCGGATACAGAGCGATGTCCGAGGTAGTGATCCGAGCCCGTACGAGAAGCACGGGACCGAATCTGGCTTACTCTGAATTAAATAAAAAAGAAAAGCCTCATTCCCTCGTACTTCACGTTATTCCTACGCGGGAGAGCACACAAAACCCTCAAACACCGAATTCCGCTCACGAAATCCACACACTCCGATCAACGCCCACAACGCTTCCGACACGCACTGGGCGCTGCCATCTTTTCGTTGACGCCAGAGATTTGGTCTGGTTACGTCATAGATTTGGCCTGGTCACGTGTCTAGTGGTCAAAATTGTACAACATGGCGGCGGCCAATCGGGGGTCACTTTTGCCTGATGAACGGTATACTAGTTTATCACTCTAAGGCCCTCTACCTCGTTGACTCATTGTCACATCAAGAAAAAAACACGGTTCGCTCAATATTCACGAGGTGCGCGAAGTACTTATTACGAGATTTGTTTGTCG